ACAAACTCGGTGTCCATGTACACATCGATCTATTTTCACTTAAAAAAACATCAGAGAACTGCACAAACTAGGCATTACATGCTGTTTTGTTCACATACAAACTGATCTACTTTCACTTAAAAAAACCGGGAAGCTAAATCAAAGTTAAAACTATCACGGTAACCAGAAATGGAGTTTCATTGCCAAAACTGAACAAAACTTTTCGCTAATCAAAGGGACATCCAATTCTACACTAGAGCCTTAAAGTACTTTCATTTCTTATGTTGCATATGATTTTCACATAAAATACTACTATACAATACACACCACATATATTATAATCAAGTAAAAGAGAACTAATTTTAAATTTCTATTTCTGCTGTATGTGAAAAAATTATAGTAAAAGTCAACTTTTAAGTATATAATAATATAACTTATAACTAGAATATTATATAACAAGGAAATAAAATGATTAAGCCAAACAATCTGTTATTGTCAAATACTGAACAATTTCAATAATTTTAATTTACCTTAAATTTTCTACAGCATTAAAAATTACCCTTGCAGCTGGATCATTTTTAGAAATTACTGTCAGTGGTTTTATCAGCAAATATAAAAAATAATTTCAAATAAATATAACAATGAATTGCAGAAATACATTACATTTATTATCCCAAATCATGTTCCTAAACATTTGATTTTCATCATAACAGAGTAATGCTAGAGATATTTCTTTCTTCTTAAATAGTGCGATCAATTCATTTTCAAAATGCAAATAACCCTACTATGAAAATGGACTAGCACCTTTTACGCAATGCACAGAAACCTTACTTTTCATGAGCAGTTCTAATTTCCATAGCCCAATGTTGGTAGTACTATTCCCTGCAAAACAGCTGATTAAATTAATCTAAGAATGCAACTGAAAAAATACACACTCCTGATTTAAAAATATGTAAACACAGATTCATACTTCGGATTCTACAAATAGCAGGGCAAATAATATAATTTTAAATAGCAAATATGTGTACACTATTTTTTAAAAAAAAGTTAATTTACAAATTCGAACATGTACATTGAGCAAAAAAAAAAGGGGGGAGACTGTTCTGTATCTCCCGTTCTATCGACTGATTGATGATATTCAACTTGCATTTTTCATGTCTCGAAAGCACGACTTAGAATCAGGGCTGTGGAGTTGGAGTCATGGAGTCGGAATCGGGCAGATTTTGGGGTAAAAGGAGTCGGAGCTGGAGTCGCTAAAAACAGGTCGACTCCAACTCCAGATTTTGTTGGACAGTTTGAACTTAAAATGAAATTAAAAAAAAAAATGAATGACAAGCTCAGTTATTATTTTTATTTATGAGCTGTACACATTAATAAATAGTTATTTTCTATTTTATTGGCCTATTAATAAATAAATATAAGGGAGGAGGATGGATGTGATATTTGCAATTAGTGATTAAACTGATTCATTTAGTTACAAATCTCACTGGTAAATTTAGGTAAGCAGCAAGAACTCCTAAATTTGATGCTATTCTTAGGAAGTGAGCAGGGAAAGAAGCAATTACTGATCAAGCACTGTGATAAGGAAATACATATTTGATGATAAAGAGGTTTTTTAGAATTAAGAAGCTTTTTAAGAGATGTAGACAACCCTAATGTTTCACTAACAGAAAGACTGCAGAATGTTCTTGCAGAATTGGAAACTCTTCTTTCTGTATATAGCCACAAAAAAGCTGCAATCTGAAGAATTGATAGAAGGCAAGAATGGGATGTTTGTTCTTTCTGAAATGGAGGGCTTATTGCAGAAGGAATCATTTCTTCAATGAAGAAAAGCGAAATTAATTTGCTAGACAATGAGATCTTGCTGGGTTCAATATATGAAGATCCGAAACACCAAATTTTCTTGGATGACGAACAAATTAAAAAGGCAAAGAAAGTCATCTATGAACTTTCATTAAGAAAGAAATTATTCTCAGAACAACTGGAGATTTCAAATCAGGACAGTAAACCTGCAGAGATTGAAATTGAGTCTCTATGATCCTTTTCCAATGATGAATTATATTTTGAGAAATACAGTCAAAAGTCGTTAATTCGGACACCCATAATCTGGAATGATCTATAATCCAGACCTCAAAGCTAAAACCTTTCTGCGCATGCGCCGCGTTGACACATGCGCAAAAGCGTTTACGCGTGCGCATAAGACCTTTACGCGCTCGTGCATATGTGTGCGCGCAAGTGCAGAATACGTTTTTGCGTGCGCGTTTAACGTATAACGGACGGTATAAGCTAAAATTATACAATTATCTATTTCAGTTAATGTTGATGCTTGCGTTATTCCTTAATCTTCGAATTGGATGCAGCTTATTATTTTTTGCAGACTGTAAGAGCAATTTTATAAAAGTAAACTTGAACTTTCGATTATGTCAATTTCCTATTCTGGAGCTCCCAAAGGATCTACAAAACGAAAGTATGTCTCGATGTCCGTCAAACAAAAAGTGGAATTGCTGCAAAAAATGGATAAAGACATGAAGAAGGTGACAGAGAGGTTAGTGAAAACGAAAAAATTTCGATTGACAAGTTAGTCGGTATTCTCGGCACAGCAATTACGGGACTTGAACAGAGAAGCTTTTTAACTGAACAAGAAATTATGTCTGTTTATAGAATTAAAGAGAAAGTATTATCACATAAAACGAAACAACTTACATTGAAAGAAATGTTTAATAAAGTAAACAAATAAATATTAAGCTTCTTTTTTTGTAAATTTTGATACCCTTTAGATCATAATTGTTCTTTATTTCCTAAAATACGGTTTGATATTTTTAATTTTAGAATTTGTGCATGCCATCTTACGAGATTTAAACTGATGATCTATAATCCAGAAAAATCAATAATATGGAATTGCCGAAGTCCCGACGAGTCCGGATTAACGACTTTTGACTGTATTTTTGGATAATATTGAAAAGGCTAAGGCAAAGCGAACGGAAAAAAAAAAAAAAAAAAAAAAAAAAAAAAAAAAAAAAAAAAAAAAACAATAGCTTTTAGATACAAAAATGAAAAAATACAATCAAGATTTCTACACGGCCTTTGAAGAAATAGAGAAATATGATTGCACTTACTAGACACATCTAGAAAGACTCTTCTCAGATCTGAAGTTTATCAAATCGGATCTATAGCCCTCCAACAAAGAAAATCTTGCTGAGGCTATACTGCTTCTTAGAAATAACTAATGCCAGTTTTTCCATTTTATAATAAATGCTAATTAATAATTTGCTATGCCCTCAATGTTTTTTCTGTAGCATCTATTACTTCTTTTATATTAAAAGAATAAGCTGTAACCCATGTGTATACATTTACATATATATATGCAAGATAAAAAAACATGAAAGCAAACTTCTAAATTTAATTCGCTATAACCTCTTTTATTTTCTATTTCATTTGGAAACTTCACCTATCTGTCCTAAAAACAGCACTTTAGTATAAACCGTGTCATTCAAATTAATCATGCGATCATGCGATCTTACGCAACCTTTAATGCAGATGCCTCTTGACCATCACCTAATTGTAAACCAAAACTTAAAACTGACTCTTTTGCCTGCCCCCTTCTTCCTTTGCATTACTACTGCGACACTCACTCTCTTCTGGTTTATGCTTCCATCCTGTTAAGATGCTTTTGCTTGTGCTTTGCAGCTACCTTCTTTGTTCAAGGAATATGTGCTGATGAAACAAAAATGGAAAGCGCATAAGACGCTAGTCCGTATGTGAACCAAATATTGCGAATCCTGACTTGCTTTCTTCAATAATAAAGTTATCTTGAATCCAGACACGTCTGCCACGTTTCTTCGCTGCTCATCTGTTATGCCACCGCCAAGCTTCAAATCATTCATTTTATATCAAGACATTTTTAGCCGGACAAGATTCGTGTACCTGCTGCCTAGAACTCCAATGGGAAATGTATCTACAAGTTCATCATTCTTAAAATTAGATATCATCGAGTATTCAAATATGGTGCCTATTTCATTTTGTAAATTCTTCAGAAAAAGTGCATGGAACTAACTTCCAAAATTTGTGCTTTCATTACATATATATATATATGAGGGAGTCGAAGTCATTAAAATTCCAGGAGTCGGAGTCGGTCATTTTTCCTACCGACTCCATAGTCCTGCTTTGAATATGTATTGACACAAAAATTAAATGGTATGCCAGTTTTTTTCCATATTTTGTTTCTATGTGCTCAATCCTGTAGAAATCCCACAAGTGTATTAAAAAAAAATTAACTCTCAAAATTTTAGCTTCTAAATGTTAATTAAATTTGGTATATATTTGTTAATATATCTTTTTTTAAACTTATTTGATTCCTCCTTTCCCATTTTTAAATTTAGGTTCATTCCAAGTAAAATTCACTCATTTTTCATGATTTAGTTTTAAAATTTGTATTTTTAAATAATTTTTTTAAAAAGATTTTGAATTATAACCTATAAAATTTTTAACTTCATCTTAAAGCAGATGCATTTCTAGGCACACTTGCAAAAAATTAGTTTCTTATTCAAAATTTTCTACAATATACATGAATTTACACTTTGGCATATTTGTTATAAGCAATAATAACAGCGAATGTGGTTTATGCACTTTATTGAAATTATTTGAAAGTATGAACAATGACTTCCTCTCTCCATCTCGTCTACAATGAAAAAAAGGAAAGGAAAATAGGTTGCTATAAATTAAGAAGTTCGCCAAGTGAATTATTCTCGGCACAAACTAAACAAAATGCGGCAAAATAAATTTTTGAATTTTTCACTAAATTTTAGAAAATTTAATATTTAGGCATAATATGAGTTATAGAATCAAAATATGGAAAACAATTGGCATGTAATTTCAGAAAAAGTCCGATTTTGTGTCAAAATACTTCTGTTAGAATCATGCTATATATAAATCTAATATATATCCCAAGTCGCGCTTTCGAGACATGAAAAACGCTATTTCGTCAATCGGCCCGGTAGAACAGGAGATATAGAACTGTTCCCTTTTTTTTTTTTTTTTTTTTTGCACAGCGTTCACTGAAGGGACAGAGATAATGCAAACAGACAGGGTAATTAGACATCATAGAAATAATTTAGAAGTATCATTCAAGAGCTATAAAAATTGACATTTAAATCATTACTTACAAAACTAATTTCCAGTTTTTTCAAACATTACATGCATTTGATATGAGTTAAGTAACATCTTTTTTACACAGGTCCTTGGGAATAAAATTGCCAAAATATTAAAAATGGTTTCCACTACAAATTTTACCACCCCTAAACAAGCATGCACTGTACTTCACATATACAAGCCAATATGAAAGACTTTTAAAGAAGTAATTGATAAATACCCAATTTAGTGTTATCCTCTACATTTAAATGTTCCTTTATATAAAAATATCAAACTTTGTCCACAATGTTTTATACTTATCAACAGAATAATGATTAAAAAAAATTGGTACCAGATTAGCAAAATTTATTATTACTGAATGCATATATAATTTGATATCCTTAACCAACCCAAGACTATCTTTCTGACTTGTTGAAAATATCAATACTGAAAATCAGTATGATTTACTTTTCATATGATCACACTCAAAATTCTTTGCAGTTTGTAATATTTTATGCCTGGAAATATATATTTTCATTGAGAAACAAATTCAAAGAGGCACTTTAATTCCTCTCCACCACAAGTGACCCAATAGAAAAGTCTGTATAACATTACAAGTTTCAATGAGGTTTGAATCCTTGCGAAGGGGCAATTTTAAGCTATTTTTCCTTTTGAAAACTCTCACAAAAAAAAAAAATAAAAAAAAAAATCTATATTTCCTCCTAGACAGGAGACTCTTGCATGCTTTGCTAAAACTGATTAAATAAAGACATTATTGTCAATGTTTACTATCATCAAAATCTTTTAGAATGATAGTTTAAAATAAATATAAGTACTAATTACAGAAATAAATTTTGTTATTGATCCAGGGAGTAGTCATCAATATTAGCTAAACAAAGCATACTCTGAGAACCATAATATCCATAATGTTAATTTTTCCCATGTCTGTGCAACACTGGGATAAATAATAAAAAATTTTTAATATTACCAAATGATAGAAAATGTTAATAAATTAAAAACTTCAGCCCTGTGAACTTCATCTAATAAAGGATATGGAATGCAATTGTTGCAATGCAAAATTTCCCATAATTCTATTTTATCATGAGAAATTAAAGAATTCTGTAAAAATTAGGCAAAAACAATTTAGAGTTTGAAATATCTCAGCTATAGAAACCAACACTACTAAAACTTAAAAAAAGTAAGAGAGTTAAAAAGAGTAAACCTGCTACAGGACATTTTACCTAATATAAACAATAATAGTTCACTGCATTTTTAATAAATAAATGATATGGATATTGTCTCAATTTCAAAACAAAACAAAACAAAAAATTCTGCCAATGTAAACATAAATGAAAATCTGTGTCTCGTCAAATACTTTACTTTCAACAAATCATGAATAAAAATCAATCATCTTCTGTATACCAGGTAAGAACCTTTTTTTTTAACTTTGTTACTTATTACATTATATATTAAAGTCAATTTTAAAAACTGATCTTCATTACATAAACACCTCATATTTTTACATGGTAAAAATGTAACTGTTTATCTTATTAATTAAACCGGACACAATAATTCTGGAAAGAAAATTTAATTCTCTACACAAATCCATACAAAATTATCTCATGATCTTGATAGAATGACACTTTCATAAACCCCACTTAAATATGAGAAAGGATAAGCCATATATACATTGCTGTATAATGTTTTATATAATCATTTAGAACAGGGGTCGGCAACCTGCGGCTCTTTTGATGTAATCTTGCGGCTTTCCAGTTCCATACGGAAAAACTATTAATTTATTATCAAAACTCTTAAAAAATAAGAAAATATATTTTTCAGTACCTAATTTCTCAATAGCTTTTATTTTCATAATCGTTAATTACACTTAACATGACCGTAATGAGATAAACTTGATTCATTGTTACTGTACTGTTAATTTAAATTAGCTCCGCCGTCAGCATGGCAGCTGGTAAAAAAAAAGAGAACTGAAGAAGAAAACCGAGAATTCAATCAGGATTAGGCGGAGTCATTTGCATTCATATGTAACACAGATGGCCTTCCGAGTTCTCTCATTTGCCAACAAAAACTCGCACACAATAAGAAGTCAAATTTGGGGAGACACTTCACTACAAAATATACCCAGTTTGCTGGTAAATATCCAACTGGAGACGCACGAAAAAAGCTCTTGAAGAGCTAAAAAAAAAGTTATGTGCTAAGTAACTGGGCACAATCTTCCAAATGTAAATCTGCCAAGCTCTGCAGTATCATTAGAAATTGCAAAAAGAGTAAAACCATTCACGTCAAATACGTCAAAGATTGTTTTATATGTGCATCTGAATAACTGTTTTGAGATATTAAAATCAAAGCAGAAATCAGGGAAAAATCAAAGATTTACGATTATCTGCAAAAGCAGTACAAGATAGAACTGCTAAGATGTTTTCAAATGTAACAAATATGCAAGTGGAAGACATTCAGTCGGCTTCTGCCTTATCACTTGCTATAGATGAGTCTTCTGACATAAAAGACACGACACAAGTTACCCTTTTCGTAGGGTATATGTCCTCCCAAGGTCCAAACGAAGAACTGTAGGATTGCTATCGCTCTCAGGACAAATTCTCATGTAGAAGATATAGCAAATGCTTGTGCAAAAATGCCTGGAAGACAATGGAATTGATATAAATAAAATCGTTTCGATAGCAACTGATAGAGCCAGAAGTATGAAAGGAATACATAGAGGGGTAACATCAATTCTTCAGAAAAAAGTAAACCATGAAATTCTAATGTTTCACTGTGTAATTCACCAAAAAGCACTTTTTGCCTAAACATTTCCGGCTGAAATAGTTGAGGTAATTAAGCTTATTAACAACATTTTGCAAAAGTACTCTACCATCACCATCTCAAAGATTTCCTTGACAGATAACCAGTTTTCTGACCAACTTCTGCACAATAAAGTGCGATGGCATTCCAGAGGTAACTTATTGCAATTGACAATGGAATTGATATAAATAAAATCGTTTCGATAGCAACTGATAGAGCCAGAAGTATGAAAGGAATACATAGAGGGGTAACATCAATTCTTCAGAAAAAAGTAAACCATGAAATTCTAATGTTTCACTGTGTAATTCACCAAAAAGCACTTTTTGCCTAAACATTTCCGGCTGAAATAGTTGAGGTAATTAAGCTTATTAACAACATTTTGCAAAAGTACTCTACCATCACCATCTCAAAGATTTCCTTGACAGATAACCAGTTTTCTGACCAACTTCTGCACAATAAAGTGCGATGGCATTCCAGAGGTAACTTATTGCAATGTTTTACTTTGTGCTTCAGTGAAATAAAAACATTCATCAATGAAAAAAGCATTGACCATCCCGAATTGGAAAAAGACAAACGGCTGCAGAACTTCTACTTCATGGTAGATACCACAATGAAACTAAATGAACTAAATCTAAAACTGCAAGAAAGGGGCAACCCAGCGTACACCTTACTTAAAGAAATAATTTGTTTCGAAAACAAATTACTTATTTTGTTTAAGACATAGAGAGCAGTAAATTAATTCATTTTAAAAATCTGAAGTATATCACAATGAGACCAATGCGACTATTGACACAAATTACTTCAACATAGCTTTAAATAACATGACGGATGGATTCGCCGAGAGATTCGAATTCAAAACAAACAAAAGTACTCTTGCGTTCATAGTAAATCCTCTCAACGCAAATATAAATGATATCAACAATGAGATATTTGGAATTGATGGTGGATCGCTTCAAATGCAACAGCTGTATTCGAAAACCAAAGACTTGTGGAGTGGCAAGTTCACAGAACTCAAGAGCCAGATGGAAGAGTCTAGATTCATGCACATCAAGCAGCACAAGAGGGCAGCTCTAAAAGAAATTTCGCGAGTTGAGGCCCTCATATTTAGGGCATGGAATAGTCTTCCAGAATGGTACAGTGAGGTGAAGAAGTTGGCATATGGAGTACTGACGATCTCCGGGTCGACATATTCGTGCGAGCAAGCGTTCTCTTGCATGAATATAATAAAAATGTAACGTTTGAAATCAACTAACAAATAAAAATCTAGAGTTGTGCTTCAAACTTAAAACAACAAGTTATAAGCCAGATTTAGTCATTCATTCAAAAGGCATGCAAAGCCAATGCTCCAACAGATGTAACTACCTATATTTGTACATGTTTATATATATATATATTATTCCGTATTTAAAGCCGTTAATTTCTCTGTGTTGCAATCATATGATATAAGTCAAAAATCAAATATATATAAGCAAAACTATAATACTGAAACGAAACTTTTTAGTGGCTCTTTAAAAACTGGGAAATTTTGTAAATTGTAACTTTTGGCTCTGCCGTTTCAATAGGTTGCCAAGCCCTGATCTAGAACCACATAACAGGTAGCACATTTGTATTTCCACAAAGCCCGATTACTGTTAGGCCTACAGTTCCAAAAATTTTCCAGCAGTTTTTCAAAATATTGTTTTTTTTTGGTACTTTTCGGTTATGCACCTGACACATTTAATTGCACCTGTGAAAGAAAAGCCTAACACATGCGAGACCCCACCATACATGTGCTGTTGAGAAACAAAATAATGCCTGGATTATAAAATTCTAAATATATTAAATATGTTGAAGTGACTCAGGTATTAAAATATGATGAAATGTATATAAAAGAGGAATAATTGTATTATTGAATAATTGTATATAAAAGAGGTATAATTGTATTTGAGAAAGCACAATATTTGCAGATATTTATCCAATCGCCATTCATATTTTTCCCTCTAAAGACTGACATATAAACATGGAAACGAGTACAACTAGCTTACTTATATAACCTTGAATGAGAAGTTTACTTCAGCCTGGAAACGATACACCAAAGTTATCTTACACTAATGAAATTATTTTAGGGAACATACATGATCAATGTGCATGATAACAAGATGACAACAATCATTGAAATTTTGGATAAAAAAAAATTCATCCAATTCATTATCATTCATCCTGTCATTAAGTTCCAAATATCTTCAAGTTTAACTAAGTGACAAATAAAACACATAATGAAAGCTACTCAAGATTAAAAACTTCTGACAAATATTTTATATCTGAATAATTTCAGTATGTTTAACTTTTTTGGTACTATACGGTTTTGAAGGCTGCAAAAAATCGCCAAACTATTGTTGATGCCAGTGCTGCCAAAAAATATTGCGGCACCCCTAATGCAAGAAAGGAAGTATAATAGTAATTAACTATGTAAGATTGACGTTTTAATTTAGATGAAAGGTTAATTTCATATATTACTTTTTTATTATATAATTTATATAAAAAAGGCTAAACATGACTGAATGGAAGCATAAGATTAAATAACTATTTCAGATCATTATTATAATTTATATAAAAATTACTAAACATAACTGAATGGATGCCTGCATCGCTATTTCGCTACAGAGTTAACTAAAGCATGCCTTTTCTTTAAAAAAATTCTCGGTAAAGTGCAGAATCGCCCACTTATTTGTTCGCCGCTTTTTACAAGGGTAAAACAACAGGATTTTTGTCAATTTTCTTTTACTTTTTAAGTGAAAACAGGTCGATGTGTACATAGGTAAAGTCAAGGCTGTGCGCAGTGCCATTTTTGTACAATTCTGTGATTTTTTTTTTTAAAGTGAAAATAGGTCTATGCGTACATGGATACCGAGTATGTGCAATTCCTAAAAGCGCGTCAAGCAGTGGGTGATTCTGCATTTTATCCAAAATTCTATTGCAGATGCATCATGGGCAATCCCTAAATTGTTAAATTCATGGGATATCAAAAAAGGATTTAAAAATTAAACTAGTATTTCAATGACGTCTTAAGAAATATAAAACTATATAAACTTACGCAATCTGAAGTCAGCACGTATGCTAGATTTGGCGCAGTGTTAAATGGGAGCGTTTGCTAGATTTGGCGCTTTTGCGCATACATTTCCACTGTAATTTTTTACGGTCCTCAAAACGGAATAGTACCACTTTTTTTAACATACTTTTATAAAGCCAACAATTTTCTTCTCTCTGACAAGATGCATACTGGCAGAATTTAAATAAAAGAAATAAAATTCCTTCCAATAACCAGAAATATAAACTCACAGTGGGACTCCTATAAATAAACTAAAAAAAAATAAAAAATAAAAAATTGGGGGACAGAAAAGTGTTGCATATATATTTATTGCACATTCTGAGCTAATTTATTCTTAGTACTTCAATTTATTCTCTGTTCTTAGTACATAGTAGGTATATTAACTATATATTATCCATATATATAATGCATATTTACAAAATTACTTTACCTAAGTGAATTATGAGACTGTAATAAGCCTATTACGAAAAGTTTCACCATTATTTCCATATACAGTACAAAGTCCGTAATCCGGACTCGTAGGGACTTTGGCGATTCCGGATTAGGGGTTTTTCCGGTTTATAGATCTTCAATTTAAATCTGGTACGATGGCATGCAAAAATTATATGATTAAAAATATATCATAATTTATGAAATAAAGAACAATTATGATCTAAAGAGCATCAAAATTTACAAAAAAAAAAGCTTAGTATTTATTTGTTTACTTTATTAAACATTTCTTTCAATGTAAGTTGTTCAAGATGCTTCCACAAAAAATTCAAAAAGTTCCTTTTTCTTGTGTCATATATAATGGACTTTCCAATGCCATACTTCTCGCATAATTTCGAGACGAATAGGCCTTTATCCATTTTTTGCAGCAATTCCACTTTTTGTTTAATGGACATCGAAACATGCTTTTGCTTTGTAGATCCTTTGGCAGCTCCAGAATTGGAAACTTTTTGACATAATCGAAAGTTCAAGCTTAATTTTTATAAAATTGTTTTAACAGTCTGCAAAAAATAAGCCAGATCCAATTAGAAGATTAAGGAACAGTACAATCTGCAACATTAACTGAAATGCCTTAGATAATTTTAGCCGAGCTTATACCGTCCATTATTTATTAAATGCGCATGCGCATAAAGTTTGTAGCTTTGAGGTCCGGTTTATAGATCATTCCAGATTATGGACATCCGGATTACAGACTTTGTACTACAGGTTTTAGTCTGGTCAATCTACATAGATTCCTTTAAAAATCATATGCTGTCTAAACATTATGTAAAATTAGCCCCCCATTTTAATTCCTTTCTAAAAACATAGGTAGTTTTTTCTTTATCCCATACATCCCACTCTAAATCATTAAAGTTTACTAATAGAAATAAAAAAATTTATATAATGATTGCACAACATCCTGAAGAATATAATTGCTATTGTTAAAAATTCTATACATTTACACATTAATAGATAACTATTTCATGCAATAAGAATGATACAATAAGAGCTGCATTCACTTAAAATATTCAAAGCATAATTTAGATTTTCCGTTTTCTAAAAATGTTATGAAATCTGATAATATCACTGATTTTTGGCTAACCAAGAATTAATTTCATTTTACCAAATTAAGACCAATATGATAAACAATTTTCTGTTGTACTACTTACAACTAGATAAACAGAGTTCACAAATCCTTCAAATAAACAATAATATAACTAAGAATGCAGTAAATAAATTTATACTCAAATTTTATGAAGAATTTATAATTAGTCCCTTGTAAATAAATAAAAAAAAAAATATATTTTTAAGAAAGTAACTTAACTGTGAACAATTCAAAAGATGTTTTTGCTGTATTTGATTCTAACCATGGTTCATTTTTCGCAGGCATACTTTAACAAAATTTTAAAATTAAGAATACTTTTCCCCCTCCCCCTACATGTTAAATATGCACAGTAATCTGACTTAAGAAAATGCTAGTCTCTACATAACCTGCAATAATTCATATTGAATTAATAGTCAAATACAAAAATCTTAAAAACAGCAGTGGAATAAACTTGAACTTGTACGATGTAATTAAATCAGTAATGTAAAATAATATTTATAAATTTTTCACTTTAATTCAGATAATGTCTTAAAATCTGAGAATGAAAGTTTCAGAAATAACCATAATACTGCAGGCTAAGTGTAAATTTTAAAAGCAATTAAAAACTTACTGACCTTAACTGTTTAAATATTAGAAATTAAAAATTTTATGCAGTTATATAAAATTTGAAATCACATTAAATTATCAGAGGCACATAATCATTAAAGCTATTTTTTTTTTTTTTTCAAGTATCGTTTGCAAATTAGGAGTTAGCCAAGAGGTCATATAAAAAGGAAATGTAAGATTTAGATGCTTACTTAAAGCAATATGCTGTCTTTTTTACTAGTTACTCACAGATACTTAACAAAAAGTTCATGTTATTTAAGACAAAATTTATTTCCTAGATACTGATATACATATGAAATTAAGAATGGATCATCTTCATACAAAAAACAAATGATCACATTAATATATTTTGCTTTTACAAAATGTGATTTTAAAGATGTATAATTTCGAATGTGCATCTTGTCTGTACAGAAAAAGCTTTAATTTCTGACATATAGCTAAATTAGCCATTTTTATCTAACAAAAGCTAAATAAAATATGCTAGATATATTAAATTAACAAACAATTTGCAACAGCTTTTTACGTTGTACAAAAAAAATGATTTTTCATACACTAATTCCCATTTATCCTGTAGTTTAAATATCCATTTCTTTGAATATTAAGAAATAAAATTCTGCAATGTTGAGAGAGAGAGAGAGAGAGAGAAAGTAATTTCAAATTACTTAAACAAAGGTAAATTTTTCAGGAAAACTAAAATGCTAATATGCACATTACTTATAAAAGCACAGATATTAATTCCTTAGTGCTTCCGCAGACAAATGCTTAGATGAAACCATAATCTTTCGAATTCCACATATGATGAATTTAAGATTAATCGATGGATATGACTTCAGGTGATGCTGCATCATCTTCAAGTGGGATTTCAAACGTTTCATCTTGTGTTCGCTGAATTAAGGAATACAAATCGAAATTCCTAAAATCCTGAACTGTTGAGCTTTGAGGGCTATTTAAAACTTCCAATTGATCATGGAATGTGCTCGTAGAAGGTGGCGAACAATAGGGTTCTGAAGGAGATGCTGGAGAAGTAACATCTTTGTAGCTCGGAGATCCTGGCAAATCAAGTGTTTGTGGTGTAATGCAACTTACATCACTCTCAATAAGAGGCTGGGCAACAGACGTAGCTTTTTCAGATATAGCAGCAACAGCTGAAGAATCCATCAGATCAGATTTAGATGAACAGGATGCAAGTGCATCAATTGACTTTGTTACTGTATCTTGCACTGTTGTGGAACTTAATGGTGAATATATAGGAAGTAAACTTGGAGATATAACTCCAACAGGTTTACAAGGTTGTTTTTTCTTAGGTACATCAATCCAGGAATCTTCTGTATCACTATCTGATTCCAGACTTATAACTTCAACTCGTTTTTTTGGTTTGGGAGCTTCTTTTTTTACAATCTTTGCAGCTTCAAATGATGTTTCACTGATTTCAGGAGGGGCTTTTTTTATGGGCATCACAGGTGTCCAAGAACCATCTTCATGAAACTGCACTTCTGTACATTCTGATGGCGCTCTTTGTGTTATATCTAAGAAGAGACCATCAATTGCCAAATTTTTAAATAAAGCAGGTTTATCACAAACAGGGCATATCCATTTAGGTTTTCTTTCATTCATTTGTAAATACAACGTAGCGTCAAAACACTGAAGATGAGTACATGTCAAAGCACGACAAGGAAGTTTCATTTTTATTTTTCCAAGTGGGCATATTAAAGATCCTCTTAAACTCATAGTTGCAATCTCAGCATCACGGTCTTGACACAACTTTTCCTTAATCATTGCTGTTGTGTGGTCAGGATTTCTCACTCCATTTGATTTCAAGCGCTTTATTAGTACTGATGACGTCTGTTTTTGAACTAAAAATATTCCTACAACATAGGCTCTAATACAGTTTATACCCCAAGAAATGTGAACTTCATTTGGTTCTGAAACACTCTTCTTAATGTAAACCGTTATGTCAATCGGACGTTTTGGACGCTTGGGCTCTACACCAGGTTTATTGGTTGGAATAGGATTGGGTAAATTGATCACAGTTTTATTTACTTTAATACAAACGCTTGTTGGAATTTCATCCTCTTGGTCACAACTAGTGTCCAAGAGACATACACGTAGTTGTACTTGTACATCACAGTTTTGTAATTCATTCAACTGCTGACGAGTAAAATAAAACACAAAATCCCTTTCTTGAAATCGTTCATTTTGAAGGGGAACAAGACTAGTTGGTCGCAAAAGTTCTGCTAATACATCATAAAAAGGCAATTCCTTGAATTTCACTTCTGGATAAACAGGATATGGAGACATAACATTCAACCCAGCATTTGGTGGAAGCATATGTTTACTCATATTCTGCATATATCCAGGTATTGCAGAGCTAAGAGATCCACGGTGATCAGATGTATTTCCATAGTTACTACCCATTGGTTCATTGATTGTAGCTAAAGGATATATATCTTGAGGTTCGGGAAGAGCACGAGATTGCTGATATCTGTTCATATGAAGTTCTCTTATCTTCATGTCGATGGATGCTGAATGGAGTTTAATCAGATCAAGAGCTCTATTCTGCAAGTCGTATTTCTTGCCGCCCTTATTTCGCCCAGCATAGCTTAAAAGTGATTGTAAATCACTGACCCTAAAGCCGCGAACCATCTTCTGCAATTCCAGGTCCGAATTCGACATAATGTTATGAATTTCGAAAAATACTTAGCTACTGAAAAAATTTATAAACAAATAATTCCAGTACTAATATAAAAAAAACTATACTTCTCAATTTGCACACAGTATCATCACATAACGAAATTCTAAGTATATACTATTAAATTGTTGCCAAATGAAAATAACTATAGTTACGAAATCGGTTGCGAAATCAATAATTTGCATAAATCTATACTTTCATTATAAATGTTCATGTTTCCAAAAATTCATTTCATTACATTCTACTTTTCTATGAATTTCTGTATTATAGAGAAAATGCATCTCAGTGGCGCAAAACACATTCCACAAAAGAAGAAGAGGAAGCATTTGATCACGGGTGCTAGGAACGGTCGCCGCTTTTTCGGATGGCCAAGAGTCTCCTTTCCCCATCGATGACGACTAGCTGATAGCTTTGCAATTTGTAATCGATTGCGAAGTCTCGATACTCTGTTTACGTTTTAGGCGGAATTGTGGAAAAATTTTGCGGAACGGAAAAGGGCCTTCACCTTCATATTTTATTTTATTTATTATTTTTTTTGCGGTATACGAGACTGGGCGCAATGCGAATAAATCTGTATGATACACAGAAACTTGCTCATATTGCTGATACAATGATCAAGAGTATTGATATGTTTAGTTCATTTCTGTTGTTAAAATAAAAAACCGCAATTGTGTGCATGTAATGAGTGTAAACAATAATGAAAATTTAGATATGTCTGTATTGTTGACTAAGTAGTAATAATGCCTGATTGTAAAATATATATTAGACTACTGATTGTATATGTACGATTTAAAGTAAAGTAATAATTACGTAGGGTAGAACACAGCAAAAGAATCACTGAATTTTTATTTATTTGAATGACCCATAATTTTTGTTTTGTTCATAGGGATATATCTTTTTTAGGTGATATATCTATTTTAATATATTGTGTACTTAATTGTGTGTGCATATATATACGAAATAAACGGGCCTTAAAACTTGGGTTGATTTAGTAAAAAAATTAAATATAGTATAATGTGTTATTATAAACATTATAATACTATACCACACAAGCACTTTCTTATATATGTAATATAATCTTAGAGAAATACCAACTGAATCCTTCTTTGAATATCTATAATATTCTCTGACTGTGTTGTTTCATATACAATGATCAAGCAAAGACAGCGTTAAAATTTTGCTCCGAACAGCTGAGATGCGTGTCTTAAATTTGAAATTTTGTACTAAACAGCACAAACTTATGTCTGGAGGAAAGAAAAGAAATTTATAAATTTTTTTTTGTCTACGATTTTCTATTTCTCTACATCGAAAAATTATACTGGGGTGGGGGCACCACTTCACTTAACATTTGATTTCAAGTGGCATCTGATGTTTTATGTCAATAAAAATATGACAGTTCATCCTAATTTTAATCTCTTCTTTATTGTTAGCTTTTAAGAAATTTGCTTCTTATTTGCATTTTGTTCTCTTTCTGTCAGTAGATGATATTAAGGATTTGGTTTTTATTATTTAACCATACTCTCCAATTTCTTTCTGTTGCTTCTCATGTAGGCACATGTTTCTTTTTCATTCTTGCAGCAGATATTAAGATGTGTAGTGCTTCAAGTGAACTAATATTTTGTGGATTTTTGTTTGCTATTGATTTCTTTTTAAATTATAATCCTGCTTAGTGTTAAGATTTATGATGCGCTGTTTATATCTGGTAATTAATAATAAAAAAACTATGTATTTTCATCATTTTGTGTACATTTTAACCATACAATTATTTTTGTATGCGAATAAATTTGTATTTATTGACTTTTCTTTACACCCAATTATCCCTAAAGTATATATGCTATGCTGAATGCATTATTTCAGATTCAAAATGTATACACAGAGAGATGCATATCACACTATGATGATAACAAAAGTGGTAATTTAATAACATTGACATCAAATATCACCTAAGACAACCACTTCCATAGAAAATTTTTTGTAGCAGCTGTGTCTGACTGTCTTACAGAAGTGTTTTGTGATTTAGAATTAATTAACTCGCTGTGTAATACTGATGCAATTGCAATTTAAGGTTACTAATATGTGCATTCAGCTGTTTTTCTTTATTAGTTCAAACAACCCATGTTATTGATCAAAAAGCAATACATTATCATTAGTCATATTATAAAAATTAAAAAATGGCTTTTGGAAATTTTCCTCCTTATGCAATGATTTCCAGTTTGGTAAAAAAGCTTTCATAAGTTGATCTTACTATGGGCACGTATTGCATTTTATTTAGTGTTAAAAATCATTTCTATGGTATATGTACATATTTTTACAGTTTTTAAAATACTTCAGAAATTCATATCTCATTCAGAAATTCATTATATCACAAGGCATGCATAAAATAAGCTTTATTTCCTTGTACTATTATTAAGCTGTCCAGAAGAAGCCTTTTTTTGACAATGGATCACTGAAAGTTATGCTGTATCTTTCTGTTAATTAGAAAATAATTTTGGATAATAAAATAAATGTATTAGAAAAATATTATATTAAAATGATATTTTTAAAAAAACATAATTAAATTAATGTATTAGAAATCTGTAATTTAAAGCAAACCTTCGTTCTTCAACTACATATTCATTTCCGATACCCAAAGGCTAATTCCATCATAATAACTTGTATTTTTTTAACTCGTCATTATTCAGCAAAACTTTTTGATTAAAAAATTCTGTATTCGTCCTTTGTGATAAAAGCCCAAGATACGAACCTCCACCATCTGCAAAATGCATGGCTCTCTTTGTACAGGATCTCTGTGGCTGTTACTGGAAGCCTAGAGTATGTTCAAGCAGTAGTAAATAGGCTTCCTTATTCTCTGTTTATTTTAGTGTGTGATATATTTGTTTGTGTGTTTTATTTGTTTATAGTGTGTCTGTATAAATACTTTTGTCTGCCATTGGAAATAAAAATATATGCATTACAAATCCGAGTTATTAAGTATATTAAGGCTGTTTACATTTTTCATTCCAAAACATATATTCAATTAAAATACATTATGCAATTTGTGTTCATCTACATTTGTTAATGTTTAATTAATGCCAACAGAAACATGTTCGCATAAATTCCTCTAAGTAATTTAAACATGAGGTTGTTTAAGAAGGCCATTTTTTATCCATTCATTTATTGAAATATTTGCATTACTTCTTATATATTAAAATTTACATATATTATGTACTTTTTTCAGTAGACAATCCAAGAATATTCTATATGTTAAATGTATGTATGGTATATGCAATAATTCCCCCCCCCCAAAAAAAAAAAGAAAAAAAAAAAAAAAAAAAACTTATCCTCTATTTGTGATCTTATTATCTGATTGTGTCTTCTTCAAAATACACAAATAATCTGATGGAATGAAATGAAAATATTTTGGTCATTAAAACTTTTTAATCACTGCTCTTTACATCTACATTTCTTTTTTCACATAATCTGAAGTTTTCGAGTAGTCTGAAGGTTTTCAAACTGTGTTTCACAGAAATTTTAGATACCATGCAACTCCTCTAGGGCATCTGTAAGTCAAAATTTAAAACATTTTAATTTTTAATATCACTGGACATCAAAATGAAATACTTGAAATAATCTTTGAAATTTTCTCTTATATTGTTAAAAAAAAAATATTAAGCAGATTTTTGTTTATGATTAAATTTATAATGAAATAATGAATTTCTTTTTACTTTCTGCATAAAAATGCACAAATTTTATATTTCAATTCTTTAACATTTATTTTTCTGAGGATAGAAATTCTTCTATAGAAAAAATTACGATTTTAGAAGAAGTTTTTCTGAATTTAAAGATTTGAAGACAACCCTGTTATAAGGGTTTACGATTATAATGTGAATGACCCAAATAATTGTAAATGGCCTATGGCCATACTTAATACACATATTATTTAAATTGACATGCTTTACCTGTAATGTACATTTGTGACTTATGTTATAATTTAAGTGCACCAGTTTACTCACACTTATCTGTATTGTGTGTATGTATGTATTATATGCATCTCTAGACTCAGGTTAAAGCTAGCTCGTTTCCCCTTTCTCAGCTTTCCCAGATGACATTTTTGGGTCTTTACTGGAACTCGACGCACACTTTATTTCGGCTAGAATAACCACTTATCTCTCTTCTTTTATTCAAAAATTATAACATACTAATTTGGGGAAAAAAAAAAATTATATTTTATGTTAGTTACTCATGACAACATTCGAAACAACCTACATGTTCGACAAGGGGTAGGGGTCTAGGAAAGCCACAACTTTTTCAATGAATGAACTGGATGAATAAATGCAGCCCTGCCTTTTGTTGTGTTTTATGCATTTATAAATTTCTACCTGACTGTTTATTCTTTAATTCTATATAAACACAATTAATCGATGCTTGTTTCTTGTATGGAATTTTAACATTAATTCTACATAATAACATGAGTAATCTTTTTTTTTTTAAATTGTATTTTAGCATTATTAAAAAACACTTTGGCACTATGAATGAACTGAGAATATCTGTCAATCTGTCTTCTACGTTAATTTACAATAATATAAATGTGAATATCTGAATGGAGTTATATTGAAAGATCTACTGGATGCTATGATTCCATGATGGTCAATCCACCACATTGGAAATATTAAATCAAACAATAAGTACAGGAAAAGATTCAGCAAGACAATATATCCTCTTTTGAATGAATACATTTAACTGTAGTTATTCCATATGATGTATTATACAACACCCCAAAATCATGGAAAAATAACTTTCTAAACCGAGTTTACGTTTAGTTTACAGTGTAAAAAAAGTAGTGGAAAAATGTTGTAGTCATGTAACTGGGCTATCTAACATAAAAATTACAGCATATTACACCAGTGTTCTTACCTTTACTGCATATTACAACCAAAAACTACAATTAGAATGTCAGTACAACCAAGAGTAAAACTTTTACAGAGTTGCTAATTTGAAAACAAGTGAACCTGTAAAACTAAAACTAACCCTGCATACTGGTTTGCTTTAGATGCATTTGGTAACCAATATGCCGTAAGTCTTTACCAGATTCAGTTTTGAGTGCATTAAATACTATATTGCTCATATGTCTTGATCGTGACAATCAATGCAGCTGCAGCATTATTGAATAGAAATAAGTTATATGACTCTCAAATAAGTGTTTGTAAAGTTGTTCAGGAAATAAATATTACTAAATATATAACATGTATTATGTTTATTGAATTGTACAAAACTTATATGTTATACTTTGAATTATCGTCAGTTTTAATTGTCTGATATCTGGTATTTGATAGTAGATAGTTTTTACAGTTTTTTCACTGTAAATTCTGAAGAATCCGAAAATAAATGCACATACAGTACGAAACTATTTCAAGTACGATAAAATTCAGTATTTAAGATTATCCTAAAAGTATGAAATTTATTATTTTATTTGAAAATAAGTATTAGTGTATCCATGGCATGCAGGTCCCCGAGATTACTATCCACTTTACTTTGGCAAAGGTGGGGTGTCACCTTTGCCAAAGGCTCTTTGTAGCCTGCTTTAGGTTTTATACTAATTTTAATTACTGGCCATCTACTGAAATGGTTTCTTTATGTATATCCACCTTTATTCCAACTCTGGTATTTCTACGGCGATGGAGGTTTAGTTGACCATACTTCTTGACAATTCTTTTACTTTTTTTTTTAGTTTAATTTTTTTTTTCAATTTGAAGCGGTAGACCAGTATTTTCATCATCTCGCATAACTGTTTTTTAAAACTGTTTTTGAAGCAGACTCGAAAATCTCCTTCAAAGAGTTGGCTACATTGTGTAAATTTTCGCTATCTAAATTCCAAAGGAGTGACCGAATTGATCTGTAATTTGCATCGCACTCATTGATCAAATTTCTTTTTTTTTTTTTACTCAACGTTGCTTCTTCAGATATGGTGGGTAAATTATCTGATGTTCCACCTGAAGGAGTTTCAGTTGATGAATATTTTCGTTTTCTGGTGCCTGAAATACTTCTTGAGACTAAATCTTCATCAACTTTGAAAATAGGTGTTGAAAATAGCCATTCTGCAGTACATTCCAAACTCCAGGCTGGAAACTTCATGCCAGCAAACACAATATGCTTGCACAGCAGTCGGTTTCTTCTGAAATCTAAGCATGTGCATTGACACAGTTGTTTCTGTTCATCAAACGTGACAGAATAAACTGCATCATGCTTAGTTTCAGAAGAAACTTTAAAGAAGCCATGTGAAATTTTTTTTATACTACCCACATAAACTTCAGCAGCTCTTAATTTTGTTTTTATGTGATCAATTAACCATTTTGGCTTATTGATTAAATAATTTGGTACATGTTCATTGTATAATCTGGCCTGCGAAAGCATACTCAGATTTTTTCTGACGTAAATTCTATATCTTTCTGGCAGAAATTTCTCAACCAAGATCTTAATTATTTCAGACAGCATACAGTTTTTATATCCCTGAAGATATCTATATTTTAGTTCCTCATTTAAGCGTTCAACACCATTGTTCGAGTTTATTTATGAATAAGTCATTTGGTTTGTAAGCCAAAGCCCATCTCTCAATTTCCTTGAACCATGTTAATTCAAAATAATCTTTCACAGCTTCATATTGGTTCCATGATTTTAATACCTCTATTGCTGCAACCATTTCATCTTGAGTTGGTTGGAGCATTTGCTATGGCACGTAATTTACACAAAAGCTCTTCTTTGGGAACCACTGCATTCTTTTTCTTAGAAGCCCATCTTGACCATGCCTGCTCTCTCGATGGAAACTACATATAAAAACCTTAATTCCTGTAAAGACATTTTCCAAACTTGTAATTTCTTCCATTGCAAAATCAACCATCCCATATTTTGGTCTAACGAGAGGCGACGACCAATTTTTAATAATTATAAGAGCTTCTTCTAATGCTTTGGCTGTTTCATTTTGTGTAATTATTATGCTCACTATTTGATAGTTCACATTTGTTTTGACAACTAAAAAATAAAGTGGGAGAGCATACTTACAGGTTCGATAGGTCGCGTCGTCGAGAAGAACAAGATTAGAACCATATAAGACATATAAATTTTTCATTTCTTCACTTTGATATACAAATAGCAGATTTAGTTTTGAATCTGTAAAGTCATTTGGCTCAGTACCATCATATGTATTTTCAGTACATGGTCTAAAAAAACAGAACACTTGGAAGTATCCCAGCTATTTATTAACATTTCTGTATTTTCCTGGTCAATTTTACTAGTTCTAATATCGGATTTTGCTTGGCTTATTATTTTCCTTATTGCCTCCATTTCTGGATAAAATCGTCTGCGCGTTTTATCAGTTTCTCCCAATTCAGTTGAAACGTATACTTCTAATAGCTCTGCAATTACAGTGGCATTGCATTTTCCATTCTTAACTTTAGAAGCTATGAAATGCCGCACTCTAGCATCTATAGGTTCTATTACTGCAGCCATGTTACCCATTAGATGATTTTGATGATCTTGGCTATTAGGTAAATTAAACATGAAAACTTCTTCACCAGCAATACTATCTTTATTGGCTAGTTTTTCCTTAATTTTCCGAGATATCATAATCTTTCTTTTTCGGGTTGGCACTACCTGTAATTTAAACATATTTATCACAGTAAAATTTAGAAATTCCAGCACAGTCATCTAAAACTAATTATTGATAAAGGTTCAATTTTAAAAACTTTCTGTTCATAGCAAATTATTCAAAAAAAAAAAAAAAAAAAAAAAAAAAAGAGAGGAGTCATTTCTCATTTCTTTCCTTTAAAAAAAGCTGTAAAAAGGATCTTCCATTTTTATAACAATAGATCAAATTACTTCTTCAAAGAAACATAACCAATAAAACTTCACTTTGAACAACTTATTTCTATTTGTAGCAAATTGGTTAGAATATAATTAGCATAAAAAGCCTTTATTTCTGGCCTGAAAACATCATTTTATTTGCATGTCAATTACTGAATTATTTATTTAGGAAAATATTACTGTTAAAAACCCTCTTTTGGCAAAAAAAAAAAAAAAAAAAAAAAAAAAAAAAAAAAAAAAAAAAAAAAAAAAAAAAAAAACTATTTAGAAAAATATGTTGAATAAAGAGACACAAAAAATCATTTCTCTTTTTTACATTGTGACTCTAAAAATACCTTTTGTTTTTATGTCAAAAAGTATGTATACTTTATCATAGAATACCTTCAATACATCTTGCTCATACGTGACAGAATTATATTTTTTCCTTAAAAAAAAATTCTCTAAAATTACTAAGACCATCTTAGAACAAAAAGTTAAATAAACTTCTACCTTGAACTGAGGCATCCTGTACATTCGGGTAACATTAATTACATTAATTACAGCTGGACAATTAACTTTTTTAGTTGTCTGGTTCTTGGAATATGCTTTACCAAAAGCATGATCAGTTTGACACTAAAAAAAAAAAAAAAAAAAAAACACACACACACACATATATATATATATAATCCAAGAGGTGATATTTTTGTATAAATTTTTAAATATAACAATGTTATTTTACCTTTTCATTTTTTTCTTTAGCATAATTTTCCTTTTGACGTTTATTCAGATCTTTTCCTTGATGGCAAAACATAGGTTTTTCGCCCAAAGTGGAAATAGGGAATATCATCTAACCAGTTTAATCGTAAATCTGGAGTTAGTTCAACTGGAAAGAAAATGAAAGATTTTGATTTAGATCACAATCTGATAAGCTTTGATTTTAAAAGAAAGAAATTACAGATCTCTATAAACATATTATACATTTAACATTATACTTTGATTTTAAAAGAAAGAAAGAAATTACAGATCTCTATAAACATATTTAACATTTAACTGTCTCTATATATATACTACATACTGTAGACACTGCTTAATGTATTGCAGCTGATGTCGTGTATATTGCTATTGAATTTCTAAGTTCTGCTCTTTCATATATGGAAACATAAAAAATGCATCATTTGCTGTAATTTTATTTGCTCAATTTGGTTAATATAATCAAAATATTATACATAAAATTTCTTAAACTGAAGAACGAAAATGAACGAAAATGATTTTAATCAAGCATTTAGAAAAAAAGCGCAAAACAAAAACAATAAAATTAAAAAAAAAAAAAAAAAACTTAATTTCATACGAATTTTCAATAGCTATTGATTTGGAAGGGCTTCAGCACAGTTCCCTCTTCTTCAAAAGGGAGGTAAAAATTCCTGAAAACATCTTTGCCAAAATACACTTGCGTTTTTGCCCAATTTCAGATTTTACATTGGCAAAATCTCTTTAAACAAGGATGCCCTCCAAGTATTAAGATTATAGGTATAGAATTGGTCCAATAAATTTCAGAAACATTATGGACTACTCAAATGAACTTTTGCAATGAAGACTGTAAACAATTGATAAACAAACTTTTATTTTTCCTAATTAAAATGTTAAGAAAGTGGCTAGTTATTATATTTATAGTTAATTCAATTCCTATTTTAAAAGATACTTTTCTCATCATCTTATATTATCAAAAATGGGCAAATGTAATCACATTAAGCAGCACCTACTGCAAACATAGAGAGATATTAAAAGCATTAAACTATTATGTAAAAAAATTATGTCATTTTGTCTCTCATATTAAAATTATATATGCTAGGTAAAGTATAGAATGAGCTAGCTGCCTTACGCAAAAGGGATGCCTTTGAGAAGGTCTAATGGGAAACTGTCTTGTATTCACTTATATATAAGGAGAACAGGAAAATTCCCATGCAGCTAATCCATTCAACAGTATTTGTACCTTGATCAAACATCCAGTATTCAGCTATCTTATCTGCTAGTCCATTGGTGCTAAGAGTCAAAATAGACAGTAATGTGATTTTACACACAAGATAAGTAGCATTCATTGACTAAAGAAATATATATATCACATCACTAAAGAAATATATATACATTTCAGAAAACTTTCCTGTTTTCTAAAATTCAATATCTTTATTATTATAACTTCCTGATATTTCAATGCATTATAATTTTATGGTGAACTATTACCTGAAAATAAAACAGAATATTTTTTGAATTGGTAGTGTTTATTATAAGGTTATTTTGAAACATGTTGTTAATGATAAAACTAAAGAATGGATTTTCTTTATAGACTATTAAATGATTATATTTCAAATCAACAGACTGCATTCATACACTAAAATAGGATGAAAAATATAGTAGTCATCGAGACAATTGTCGAGTTTCTCAAGAAACAACAATAAAAATTTTCAAATCTAACACGGTATATCTTGTTTAATGTTTAATATAGTACGGAATGTTTCGTGAAGCATCAGCTATTTAAAAAAAAAAAAAAAAACATGCAATACCTGACAATGAAACCAAATAAAAATCAAACATAACGCTATTACACGTTATGCAACAAAATTAATGAATATGAACGTCTATAAACCCTTTTTTCAACTTGGACCGAATCTCGCAACATCAACTAGATCGTACGCAATAAAATTAATACAAATTAGTGCTGATAAGTTCTTTGGAACAAAATGGCCAAATATCAACTAAACAACCAAAGAAAGCATTTACATTCTAGAGGATTTTTATTTACTCATTACATCTTCAAAAATTACTTACTCTCTTTATCGAATGACTTTCCATAGTAGTAAACATATTTTGTTACAGTTTCTACTTCGTGTCTGCGAAGTATTTCTTTAAATTCGCTCCAAGATTTCGCAAAATTCATTTTGCCTCTAAACACAAAGGTTCATACACGAGACCAAGGTTCTTTAATATACGGACGAGACGGACTTTGAAACTCGTAATCGATAAACCGGCCATTTCCCTATCGTTGACACAAGTCTTTCTATCGATGGGAAAAGGAGACTCTAGGCCATCCGAAAAAGCGGCGACCGGCGTGTTTAGCCGTTTCGCTGTTAGAACCCGAAAAACGTTTTTTCAAGTGTTCACTATGAGTAAAAGATTTTTTTTTCAAAACAGCGGGACAATTACCTCTTAAACATCTGTGGGCAAGAATAGAATTCTTTACTGCATATGTTCATCCTTAAAATTCCTGGGCAAAAAGTTTAGTTTGGAATTTCGTTCAATGTTTTGGCAACAGTGTTGTGAGCAGTGGGAAAATTATATGAGATTGTTTGCAGTCTAAAAGAGAAATAATTTTTCTTTAAATTGTAGATGTGTAATTTATTTTATTCTTTTTTATTCTTTAATATGCATCTGAATGTATAAAGAAATGTACTTGAATCTTGTCATCATCAGTCCGCGAGAAAGCGTAATTTGTATTCGTTCGTTATAATTTTTGTGAAAGCTGAAAAGGGTCACAAATAAGAAGCAAAGAACGTGAGTATTTATACTTATGGTAGTGATATTTGCTAGGAATCATTGATGGATAACTGTAATTCGAAGAACGAATTAGAAGGTGATTCTGATGTAAAAATTGAATTTTGCGATGCAGATTCTTTGGAAGAGAATTCTGAATCTGCAAGCCAGTATTACGACTCTGAGTCTTGCGATAGCCCGTCTGGTAATGAAAATTCGTCTCTTCAACGCAGACGATATGGGGATGATGCATATGAAAGTGATGGCACTTTTGTCGAGCGTAGATATGGAAACCGTTCTCGAGATCCGCAAGCTGAGAGACCTTATTCCTGTCACCTATGTCCTAGTGCCTTTAGTATCAAAAGCAGACTTTTGACACATATAAAAATCCATACAGGTGATAAGCGTTATAAATGTGAGGTATGTGATAAAAGATTTGTCCAGTTGGGCCAGTTGAAGAATCACAAAGTTACCCACACAAATGAAAGACCTTTTGTATGTGTTACATGTGGTGCATCATTCAAAGACAAAAATTGTTGGAGCAGGCATCAGCGAATGCATTCAGGTTTTAAACCTCTAACATGTGATGAATGTAAAAAGTGTTTTAGAGATAAAACTGCATTAGAGAATCATAAACGAATTCACACAGGGGAAAAGCCATTTAAGTGTGATATATGTAATAAAAAATTTATGTCTAGGAGTTCTCTTAATTATCATTATAAGTACACTGAGAAAATGATTTATGAATGTAATGTATGCTCTGTTTCATTTAGTGGTAGAAAATCTCTGTTGGATCATGAAAAGACCCATGTGAAAAAATCATTTTTGTGTGATGCTTGCAATATAACTTTCTCAGAGTATTCCGAATTTGAAAAACATAAATTAATTCATACGACTAATGAAATTCATGTTTGTGATATATGCAATAAGTCATTCATGAGTGAGTCTAGTTTGGAGGTTCATTTAAAAATGCATACTAAGGAAAAACCACACAAGTGTAAAATTTGTCAGAAACAATTCGCTTTCACTAAAACACTCTTGAAGCATTACTTGGTTCACGATGATGAACAACGTTTTAAATGTAAACTGTGTCCCAAAACCTTTAAAGAGAGTTCTGCCTTGGAGAAACACATACAGCTTCATAAAGAAAAACGATATGCATGCGAGATGTGTGAGAAATCATTTGCTCGGAAAGGTTTCCTAAATATGCATATGCGTGTGCATAGTATTGACAATCCATATGTTTGTGATAAATGTCATAAAAAGTTTGCTTGTAAAAGTGCTTTAGAACAGCATGTGTTGGTTCATACCGGTGAAAAACCTTATGCATGTGACATTTGTCCCAAAAGATACAAGAGAAAATCTCTTCTTCGAAAGCATTCTCGTATTCATGAAGGTGAAAACATTCAATACAAAGTTGAGGAATAAGTTTTATCAACATGAATCACCAGGAAAGCCTTTAATAAGTGTATAAAAATATTACTAACTGTATCTTATGTGAGAGTTTGATTTCAAATTTTTTATTAGTGTAATCTTTTTATTTAACAGTATGAGATTCCTTGAAACCATATTATTAAACAGCAAGATTTATTTGTAGAATTTCTTATTATTACATTATCATTTAAAGGAGAAAAGCTTTTTGAAGCATGTAATTGCCTATTTCTTTATTTGTAAATGTTTTTTCAAATTCCATTTCACAGTTTATATTATTCGGTTAAGAAATCAAATCAGCAAGCTTTAATAAGAATTTTTTAATCTATCTGTGAAATGTAATGCAGTTATTTACCTTTAAGGAATATGAAGTATTTTTTTAATAATAATAAATGATAATTGTACGTGAAGAGTTTCTGTTATGATTTATTTAAAAAATGAAATAACTATGTTACTGAAACCAGTAAAACAGGAAGAAAATTATTGTATTAATAAAAATTGATCAAAATGCAAATGTTGCTCATTATTAGAAATTGGAAAATTATTTTGTTAAGGACCATTTACTACTTTGCTTTTTCTGTTATGCATGACTGAGTGATTTATGTTGCATACAGAGATAGGCCTAATTTTACTATTAAGTAAACCTACATAGTGACCTAAGGGCTACTAAATTGTCACGAAGTTTCTAAAATTTAGAATCTCAAGTAGTTAATTCCTGTTGGTGTAAATGCAGATTCTGTGCCAATTTGGTGGATTAAAAAAAAAAAAAAAAAAAAAAAAAAATTGACATTTACGATTTTGAATGAAATCTGTAAATGTGTACAAAAAAATTAAAAAGGGAGGAGGGATACCTTATTTTAAAGCAAATTAAGGCTAATCTTTTGGAATATGGTAACATGTAGTTTGGCGACATTTTGGTAAGGCGATGAAGGTTGCTAGGTAGGACTTTAGCAATAATCTGAGAAGTACACAGTTCGAATCACAGATTATTTTGTCTCAGAGAAATGAGAGATCATGTGACATGTCCGATCGTGGTTTTGGCTAATAAGAACTTTGAAACAATTTCGCTGCTTAAAGTGCAGAACCGCCCACTTATTTGTTCGGCGCTTTTTACAAGAGTAAGAAGATTTGGATTTTTGTCAATTTTCTTTGACTTTTTAAGTGAAAATAGGTCGATGTGTACATGGATAAAGTCAAGCGTGTGCACAATGCCATTTTTGTGCAATTCTGGGATTTTTTTTTTAAGTGAAAATAGGTCGACGTGAACATGGATACGGTATCCAATGTGCAATTCTTAAAAACGTGCGAAGCAGTGGGCGATTCTGCACTTTCTCCCAATTTAGCACCTAATCTTCGTCATGATTAAGCACTTTTGTTCCATAAAAGTTCTAGCATAAACGTAATTCGGCTAGCAAGTTGTTGGAAAAAATGTTGAGTAAAAAAAAAATTGGCGTCAAAAAAAAAAAAAAAAAAATGGCGTCAAAAAAAAAACAAACTAGCAGGTTGTTGTAGCAGGGTTGGTCACCAAAACATCGCCAAGTTACCATAATCCGAAGATTCACCCAAATTAATTTTCGTGTTATGGGATTCATCATATTATGAACTTGGAATGTTACCTATCGTATATTTAAAAGCAGCAGTAGCAAAAAAGAAAACTGTTATAGCTCAACAAGTTAAATGGTAATATTTAAAATGAATTATAAATAGTAGGAAAATGTATTTTTCGGTTGATCTTTACAATATGGTAACTGGTAGTTTGGCGACATTTTGGAGGCGATAAAGGTTACTACCTGGCACTTTGGTAATAATGTGAGCAGTACTCAGTTCCGATTACGCATTATTTTGTGTGAGGGAAATGAGAGATCATGGGATATGTCATGTGATATTAATGGACGAATTACGGTTCTTTAATCGGAAAAGGGGGGAATCAGGAAAAAATCTGGAAATTTTGTATTTGGCTTTATTCTGTGTTGTGTGAAACAGTTAGGTGAATTTTTGGATCCCATGGCCGTAACTGAAGTGAATTCGAAATGGGTATTTATGTATGTATTAATTTAATGTATGTGCTCATTTATATTTTAAGTAGTGTTTTTGAATTTAATGATATTTTAATTAAATGATAGTTATTTTGTGAATTTTATGTTTGTAGGAATTTGGTATACGTTTTAGTTGAAGTAAACGTGCATGGAAATAATTTAAATATCTGACACTAAGTATTTGTAATATAGTTGCGGTATGAATTCGTTGGTGACGTGTATAATGTAATAGATGATTTAGAGGTAAAAGTTTTTGGATATTTTATTTATTTTATATGTGGAAATGTTCATATTTGGAAAGGGTAAATACTTTTTCGCGATCAGGTAATTTCATATATGTTCTTTTTTACCGGGTTTAAAGATTGAGAAAATTGTCATGTATTTTCGTGAAATTTTTCTAATTTATGAGAAAAAAGCAGTGTACATGGATATAGTGAAGAGTGTGCGCAGTGCCATTTTTGTGCAATTCTGGGATGTTTTTTTAAGTAAAAATAAGTCGGCGTGTACATGGTTTATGTGTATGTGTTATTTTGAAAAACGCGTAAGCAGTATGGTATTGTGCACTTTTTCCCAATTTTGCAGTGAATATTTGTCATGATTAAGCAGTTTTGTTAGATAAAATTTCTAGCATAAGTGTAATTCGGCTAGTAGATTGTTGGAAGAAGTGTTCAGTAGATAAAAAGAAAAGAAACATGTCTTTACTTCCTGAAGACAAAATGGTGGCGGGAAAAGAAATAGAGGGTTGCTGTAGGAGAGTTGGTCGCCAAATTTTCGCCAAAAAAACGCCAAGTTACCATAATGTAAAGATCAACCTATTTTTCCTTAACTTAAGCTATGACAAAATAAACAGCGAAAGGGGAGATAAAATTCAGAATTTTTTTTGTTTAATTAAGAATGTTGTCTGACACAGATGCTTGTCTGCAGTAGTGAGAAGGATTGCCATCATGGAAAACATTCTCACAGAAAACAACAGATCAGTGGTGATTCTGATACTGCTGATTAAGAAGCTGGTGGCAAAAAGAAGAATTATTATGACTGATGAATGGAGACATACTCTTTCTTAGGCAGGCATGGTTACTATGTGTATCAGACTGCTATTCAATCTACAGTTTCAGTAATCTGACAACTGGTGGCCTGTAAAAGTAAAATTGCAAATAAAGTGGTCTTTTTGCAGTTTTACTTTCACTTTTCAAAAGAAGGAAAATCTAGAGTATCACTATTCGAATACCTATTTCAGCATGAAATTAAACATACAGCAAGATCCATTCATGGAAATTTTAAATGCAGTTAAGGATTATATCATTTTAGGGTCACAACTATGTCTGTGGCAATTTCCTTAAGAGTACAGGTTTTTGAAGAAAAATTATCTTTTTGAGAGCCATAAAAATCTGAAAAAAGAAATGAAGTATATCAGTTTTTTTATAATAATAGAATTATTTATGAAGCTGTTTCAATACTCACATTTACTTTACTTTTTATGTTAATTTTTTGTTGGATATGCTTAACATCATGCCTTTCTACCAGCCTGAACAGAATTAAATATCGTGTTTAACCAGTAAATTTTTACTTGCATATGGTTAGTATCACCCTTTTCTGCTAACGTGAACTTAATTGTGCTAATTATTGTGTTTAAAAAGCTAAATTTAACTTATGTGTGCTTAATGTGTTTAACCTACTAAGTTTTAGCTAAATTTGACATATATATGCTTAGTATCATGCTATGCACTAAATATAATGTTTAAAATGCTGAATTTGATTCATATGCTTTATATCATGTTATAATTCAAAACTTAACCATGTATCATTAAAACCATTATCATTCATAAACTTGATGACAAAAAAATGCATTTTCTGCCATCAGGCTCTTTGTGGAAGTACACCCTAAAAAATATTTCCTTAAAATCATTTTGAAATTATTCAGACTACACTTCATTTCAAATATGTATCTGAAATAACAGTTAGTCTATCAAAAGTGTTTGAAATTATTTAGACTGTGCTTTATTTCTTGTGTGTACTGAGCCCACCACCAGCCGAATGGTAAAGTTGCTGAACATTGGTATTCTGGCCCAGGGTTGGAATCCCAGCAAAAGAGCTGGCTGTATGGGTGTTTTCATAATTTCCCCTACGTTTTAATGTCTATACGAGCCAATTTCCCTTAGAAAGTCCTTCATAAAGGCATCTCCTCCCTTAGGATCTCTTCTCTTATGTGTTTTGCTATAATAAACTAACCATCTTTATAATTTGTTAAAAAATTTAACATTGTATTTTTTAACTAAAAACTTTAAAGTGGCTGAGTATTCTTCTGTGCCATATCGCTGAGAACAATGTCTAACGAAACTGCTTTCTGTTTGCTTTATGTGAGAATTCGTGATTTTGCTTGCTTCACGCATTTTGCTTTTAGTGAGTGTGCCTTAGTATTGCGATTTACTGCTTTCTCAGTGCTAAATTATGGAAAATAATTCCTTTGTTCCTGATGAATTTCCCCTGCTGGGGAATGTTAACACCGATACCACTAAAGCTACTTTTTGGGCAGATGCCATGTGCTCTGATGTGTGTGATGGTATGTGCTTTGATAGTGTGGTGATATGTGCTTGGATAATTATACTCCTGCAGTTGAAAGTTTTCCTGATGTACCCGATATTATTGTATTTGGATAATCTCGATATTGATGACCTAAAGAATGTGAAAAAAACTCTTAAATTTGGATACTTCGAACTTCGTGTCATTGGATCCTGCACGTGTTGATCAAATTGTTAAGTGTTTGAATATCTACATTAGGAAATCACTAAGTGTTGCTGAAACCTCACGTAAAGCTGTGTTACGTATTTGTGAACGGCTACTAAGTGAAATATATATATATAATGATAGCAAGGAAAAGACGGAGCAGCGTGGATATATGAAAAAATCCATATACATAAATAAATGATATGAAAAAAAAAAAAAAAATATTATACTTTACTC